GTGTGTGTGTGTGTGTGTGTGTGTGTGTGTGTTGAGCTGCAGAAATTGAAGTGACAGCAGCACTTGTCAGAGTGTGATGATGAAGTACCTTATTCTGTCTTCTCACTTCAGTAGATCAGATCCTAAATAACATCAACCTGTCAGTCAATTCACCACCCACATGTGGAAAATATACAAAGAATGAAAACAATAGACGACAAAATAGAAGCATTTTTTGTCAAATCATTGTCACTTCCCTCTCGTCTAAAATATTCTTTCTCTTGTTCAAAATTTAAGTCATCAGTTTATATTTAGATGAAAACTACGTCCTTTTAACGTTGTTGGCTTTAGTGACATAAACATGTGAACAAGAAGTATCAGTTTTGTTTTTTGCTTGCAGCATATCTCTGAAAAACACATTTMTCTATAAAGCTGCAGGCAATTTGCTTTATTGATGGGTTTCCTATTATTTTTGTTTGTTTAGTTTTTTGTTACATCATGTATCCATCACACCTCTCAGTCCCATAAACGCTAATGTTCACCCTCTCTAAAATGAAATGTGTTTGCAGCSGGAGTTTCAGACATTACTGATTATCACCACTCCAGGGAGTAATAATTGGAACCTGTTTTATTAAAACTGTGGATTTTTCTTTTGCTGCTAAAATGTGTGGTGTCATCAGACCATTTTAACTTTTCAAAAGCCTTCCAAAGATTTCCAAGGTGGTAAAATTGCTTTAAAAAAGCTTTGGATGGCTCTAAAAGTATTGAATGGATGTGGATCAGCTTAGAAAACCGTAGGTCTAAATTTAATGCTGGAAACTGGAGCATAATTAAACAAATACAGTACTTTGCAGAAACCACGTTGGCGTGTTGCCGAGGTTAGATAACAGAGCTGACCATTCGCTCGGTTGTTGAGGCGCATGTTTGTTGGTCCCTGCTGAGCAAGATGTTTGCTTAGTACTYTGTCCCTACGGCCTCTTCTTCTGAAGGTCTTTAAAATCCGAAAGACATAAAATCCCAGTTCAAGAGTTAAAGGGGACCTAAATAGAGTGCAGGGTGGAGGATCAGACWGACTTTGAACTTTAACCAGAGACACTTTGACACGCTCTACGGTCCTCATTTCCAAGAAATGTCCGTGTTTTCTCAATGGCAGCRATGTCATTGACAGCCAGCATTGGTGGGGCTCAACTTAAGAGAGAGAAGCTGCTGGTCATGGAGCTCCGCCCACCTGCTTCCTGTTTGTCAGCCAACTAAACTGTTGATGAACTTCWTATGAGGTATAAAGTGCACACTGCATTAAAAATCTTAGTTTTCTTATGCTGTGCCACCTAAWTATGTGGTTTGTTTAAGAAGTAAAACATGAGCAACCAAATGTCAGACTGATCCCAATCACCCCAGGTTGTTGTTATCACATTTACAGAAGTTGACAAAAATAGGAAGAAGTTATTGAATAAAATCAGAGTGGARAATAACACTTCCTCTGTATATTGGGTGTAAAGTACAATGAAGAAGGTGCCTTTTGAGTTTATTACTGGGTAAACTATACTTATTGTCACCATGTGTTTACTGGACACCATCAATAATCTCTGCTACCTCTCTCTGGTTTGCTTGCAGCCGATGAAGACTCTGGACAATGATGCGCATCAAAACCTTGGCCCGTACTTCTCTGACGGACAGCGCCGTGTGGACTATGCACTGACGTACAGCATACAGAAGCCCGGTGGTCTCCGGCGGAGGTCGTCCAAATTTAGCGACACCAACTTCTTACGAAGGCTGCGGCACAGCCTGAGCATGAGGAGCAGCCAAGCGCCTCTGCACTCGAAGGAGGACCCAGAGATTGCCGCCCAGGATCAAAGGACCGACTACCATGAGGAYGACATGCGCTTCAGAAGGGAGGAGTTTGAGGCCAACCTTCTGGAGATGGGACTGGAGCTGGAGAAGGATGAAGGGGTGAGAGAAGCTCAAGGTCTAGTTTAGTTTGACTGGAAAATTACATATATATATATACACTCACTGGCCACTTTATTAGGTACACCTGTCCAACTGGTCGTTAACACTTAATTTCTAATCAGCCAATCACATGGCGGCAACTCAGTGCATTTAGGCATGTAGACATGGTCAAGACAATCTCCTGC